TATTGCTCCCAATCCAACTCTAAATAAATGCTGCTTGTCTTTCCTTAGTCATTTAGTTAATCAGTAGTTCTTGTGTCATTAGTGTAAAGTACATTACAGTTTTGCATGAAGGAAACCTATTGCTTTTTACTTCTAGCCGCTGCAATATACTGTCTTCCACTTTATATATACAGCTAACAATATTTCTTAGTTTGTAAACTACAAAAACAAAACATTCTCCATTTTCTACTTCTCTTACATTATGGTTTCCACTGTGATGGAAAATCAATTCATATTTCTCCACTGACAGGTTCCCATTGTTCTTGACAATCTTGAAACGAAGAAGATTATTCTGGTTCACGGGGAAGGGTTTGGAGCCTGGTGTTGGTATAAGATTTTACCTCTGGTTGAGGACGCTGGACTTCATCCTGTTGCTCTGGATCTGACTGGCTCTGGTATCGACCACACTGATGTTAACAGTATTATGACTTTAGCCGATTATACAAAACCTCTTCTTGACTACTTGCATAACCTACGTGAGGATGAAAAGGTTAAATCATTTTCTTGATAAATATCCTTTAAGCTAGCTAATAGTGTTATATAAGGATCTATCCTCCTACATGTTTCCATAACAAAACGATATTGCATGGCAGGTTATTTTGGTAGGTCATAGCTGTGGAGGTGCAAGTGTATCTTATGCTCTTGAATGTTTCCCAAAGAAGATCACAAAAGCAATTTTCCTTGGTGCGACAATGATTTTGGATGGGCAAAGACCTTTTGATGTGTTTGCAGAGGAAGTAAGTGACAATTCATTATTTTAAGCTGATCATTTTGACCATATAGATAAACTAGGCAGACTAACGTCTTTCTCCCCTGAAGTTGCTTGTTATATGGCGTCCAAATGATCAAAACTGAAATAACCTTTTTTTTTTTCGTGGTCAAAGGTAATAAATCATGAGACCGAAATCTTTTCTCCAACAATAACAACAAAAAACAGTGGTGATGGCAGTTTTACCATAAGTTAGGGTAACAGTGAAATTTGTTTCACTTGCCATTATAATCATAATAGATGAGTCCTAATCAATTTAGTAGCGTTGGTGGTAGTATCAACCAAAGCAGAAAGAACAACAGTGAAAGGCAACTAGACCAAAATGTTCCTTAGCTTGTCAAACTTACTAGTTTTCCTTTGTAAAATATAGGTTTTTATTTAAATGGTTATGATCGTATGTAATTTGATTACCATATAAAGAGTTTGAGAGAATATCTTATAATAAAATTTTAAAAAATTGAGAAGAATTGCAATCTGTAAATGAAGTAAATAAAAAAATGATAAAAAAGTCCTGTCAATTCTCAACTTTTTTGGAAATGTATTTATATTATAAATTGTTTGGAAAATTAATTGCATTATACTATAGTCAGATAAGTAAAAATTAAAACTCATAAAATAATCATGTTTTAAAGTTAATATTATTTTAATGGTCATATTTTATTTATTAGAATAATCTAATAATTGTAAGACGAGTGTTTAATTCATAACAACATTTATTTATTTATTCCTCTTTATTTTTATTTTTTGTTTTGAATTAATAATTGTATTATATTGAAAATCATTTGTTATAAAATATAATTATTAAATTAGTTAAATCTATTGTGTATATTCACATTTGCCTTTTTCAAGTATCTAAGAGGTAGCAGCGGGTCACGATACAAGAGCTTGCACCTTATGAGCCCCTATAAAATTCATCCCAAGGCTATGAGGTTTAGCTCTGTAAGGGACTCAATTGGGAGCTAGTCACCTCCCACATAAATGATCAGGAATCCTCGTATATCACCTGGCTCACCACTGACCCTATATGAAGAATTCGTCCTTAACATTGCTTGCCATCTACCATGGCCAAATATCATTAATCTCATTCGACACTTCAACTACAAGGAAGGTGCCCACTCAGAAGACTCCCAGTTTGCCCTGTCATTGCTAATCGACTATGGAGTTCATCTACCTCGCAATTCAACCTCCCTCGCCTCTCTTTCTCAGCGAGGCAACATAGGGCTCCAGGATAGGTTGTTTGTTATTTTAGGGAGGCACCTAGCCTCAATTCATTCTATTAAAGACTCGTGAACAGGCCTGTCTACCCTTACTAGCCTAAACGCACTTGACACTATTGAACTTGCATAGAGGTTGGCAAGTTAGGTTTAAGGAAGGCAATTCTCACTCCCACCTGCTTAAGTGTGAGCCGTCTCTAAGTTAGTCTGTAGAGTCATTGAGTATGTATTTTTATTTCATTTATTGACTGATGTATGTTGATAGAAAAAAAATTTGATTAAAATAGTAGTTTACGTCATTTCATCAAAACATTGGTTAACAATTTTAAATTATTTATTTAAAAAAAATTATCAAAGATTTTGTCTTTAGGGAATTTCAATGAGGATTGAATCAACTTAGAATCAATTTTTGGAAATGAAAGCCAAAGGAAGAAGGTAGAAACACTTGATATCGAGAAACTCAGAGGTACTCAAACTATCTTATGTTAAACTTTACATTTTTTAAATTAGATTGAATTTAAAGTTGATCAATTTGATTTAGAGGGTTAAAACCTATATTCGACAATGTGGGGTGGAGGAAATGCCTAGAAAGGTGAGAGATTACGATGTAACTGAAAAGAACATCAATCTTGGAACCTAGATTTAAGGTGAGAACTGCTAGTAGGTTGTGACGCCCCAAGATCTAACTTGGAAAAAATTATTTAGTCAATCTTCTACTAGAGCTATCTATAGTCATCAATAAGTGATAAACAGTCTAACAAAATCTATAATTTCAAAACATCAAGTAAACATTTCTATTCATTTCCAAAAGTTCATTTATAATACTCAGGATCTACACATTAATCACATATAATCCATCCTGTTCTGAGTACAAAAAAAATCACTATAACAAAAAGACAAAAACATGAAGATTCCTGATCAACCTCAATCTCCTGCTCCCTTGCCCTGACACATATAATGAGCTTCAAAAAGCCCAACAGGTCACCAAAGCCTACAACTGAAATCAAAGCACGGTATTGAAATAATATGCATGTCAATCAGTCAAATCATTGCAGTCACTTACACATGATCATTGAGTCAATGCAGAATCATAAATCTTGTAGAAACAGTAATCAGTACAATAACAGAAATCAATACAGAAACGTGTGAAGCTAGCACTATCAGTGGAAGAATCAATAAACGGTATAAAAGTTCGTAAAGCTCAGTGAATCATTACGTGCGTCAAATCTCTACAGTAGTAGCCTTATATATAACACCAGTCAATTCAGTAGACAAATCATCATATCTAAAATCTCAGTCAAATCATATAAAACAATCAATCAATAAAATCAATTGTATAAAAAGAATTCATCGGTTCAATAATATCAGTCGGTATAAAACATCAAATCAATACTATCGTTCATGACTGTTGAAATCAAATCAATGAAGTAAAATCATAACATCGTTTGAAACAGTTGGAATCAATCAAGGTCGTAGAATCATATCAAGATGTACACTTGCAATTCAGTTATTCAATATCACGTGCTCAGTGAATCGCATGTCACTTACACAGTATATCACGTGCATAATGTCAGTACAGTGAATCAGTAGTATCAGTGCATGTATCAGTATTAGTACAATCCAGTGACATGAACAGTAATGATATAACAATGAAATCATGCATTAACAGTAAATCCGTACAGTAACTAAATCCGTACAGTACAGTAACGATAAATCCGTCAGTATCAATAAATCCATACAGTAGCAGTAACAATACTGCTAAACATGCAATTCAGTACAGTAGTCATACAAAACAAGTAAAAGCACTGGCTATTAAGGTGTTTTTCAGTCTTGTATCAATATCTTGTATCTTGTATCTGTTGGCTCAGTAAAAAGAGTCGTCACTCTTTGCCCGTCAGCACAGTAATCATCTCCTTATATAACTCTCTTCAGTAATTACGTGATCAGTAGAGGATAACATCAAATCATATTTAAAGGAAAATCCGTTGGCCCACCATCCTGTACAGGTCAATCAGTCTCCAACCAACGGTTCAACCAGTATTTACTTGTCTTTCACACACATAGTATACAGTAGTATCACAATAACAATAGCTTCAATCATATCACAACATTCATCATTATCTCATCAATGCATTGCAACCAATAAACATGATTTGGCTCAATTTAGAAAACCCCTTAAAATATCGTATAGTTGACAAAAGTCGTTATAAAATGCACAGATCCAGAAAATTACCAAATTACTAGAAATCGCGTAAAACAACGTTTCAAAACTTTACTTGTACTGAAGCAATATTTTCCAACAGCCAGATAATTTTCTATTCGGTTCAAATCACACAGAATTCAAAATACCCAGTGAAAACTTTCCAGAAAATACTCAAATCGTACGGAAACATTATCTTAGAAACATACCAAAAGTTACACGGTAAAAGTTTCGTCAATACAAAGATATGCACGTTTTTCGGTAACAGAAACACAAAACTGAGCAGAAAAATACTGAAACACGAAATCTTCGAAATCAGAAATAGAATTCGGATTTCTTACGGCGAGATAAACAATTCTTCCAACTGCGTCGACGGACGAAAATCGCTTTGCGGCCTCCGAAACCAAGCCTTTTCCTTCTCTTTTCCTCCTCTTTCTCTCTCCAATTTTTCTCTCTCTTCCAAATGATTCAAAATATCTCAAATCTGATACTTATCAAACAAGATCGTTCCGGACGATTCCTATTCATCCCGGGACGATTTGCCCTCTGGACAAATCTCGTCCAGACGAAATGTATTCGTCCCTGGACGACTTGCTCTCTGGACAAATTTCGTCCCGACGGTTCGTCCGGGCTCGTACAGGTTCGTCCAGACGAACCATACAGATTCTTCACAATTTTCTTCAGTTCGTCATGTACTAAAGTCAGTTCGTACGGACTAACAGCACTAAAAAAAATGCACTTCGGAGGGGTTTTACATAGGTAGTAGCTTCGACCTATATCTAGTGAAATACAAGAGACTTGCAAACTCAGAACCCTACCTGGAGCTGAGCTAGCCCAACTCTAGGCTGTTGACTTAATAAATATTAGAAAATAGATAGATAGAGAGAGAGAGAGAACAAGCAGTAAATTCAAATGAATGTCTCGTTTCACAAAGGACACAACCATTCATTTATACAAAGAAACGAAGAAACTAACACAAAAAAAGGAACTATGCTCATTTCATTTATTTGGCCCCACTCTTATTTGGTTTGCCTCCGCCCTCGTCTCCCGCTCGCCATTGCCTGTGTGAAATCCTTGCTCGGCCCGCCTCTCCACAGTCGTGCAACCCATACGCGATGACAACCTTCGTAGCCAAGCAGGCCCGTGTCCATATCACCTAGTGAGCACGTCACGTGTTAGGGGAAATCTGATTAATTACAATCTACCTTAGAGAGAATGGAATCATATATCTGCAAAGCAGGATTCATGCCGACATGCCATTTTTCTGGAGCCAACATGAACTTACCTTCCTTCCTGGAAAAGATTGTCAATTAACCCACCTACGTGCTTTTAAAACAATGAAACCTGCTCTCAATGCATATGCAAGATAGATATGATTTTTTTTTTTTTTTTTAAATTAAGAACATATGATTTATAGGTTGACTACTTAAGAGAAGGTGTCTGACCATATAGATATGATTTATAGCTTGATTACTTAACGAATCACATATAATGTAACTTATTATTTTTTTGTGTGCTGGGGTTAAGTGTCAAGGAATGAATTTGATATTGGCCAGAATTCTAGATCAGGACCTTAGTAACAACTTCAAAATCTTTTCCCCAACGAAACTAGTTGAACATTTAATGTAACCTGTCATCAAACTTGTTCTATTTTTTATCATTTTTCAAATGACAAAATCTAATGAAGTCCTTTTGCATTTTTGAGCAATTTTGAGTAGACTTTTTTCATTATATTCCAAACTGACATGTGACACAATCAAAATGACATGTAACACAACAAGAAATTGACATGTGACACAATCAAATTGGCCAGTGGTTCTAGATTGATTTCACATGCATCACCTACATTTTGTTATTTTTATTAAATTTAATACTCTAGTTGCTTGATAAAATAATTTTCTTGCTAAGAAAATTCTATATTGTCACCTCAAAACAATGTGTGATTTGGAGTAAATTCAAATGAAGTTAATTTATGTATTATACTATGTATTCTTTGTTTTGAAGTTCATCATTTTATAATAATCTGATGGAATTGCCAATTTTACGATAAATAATAAGTACATACGATTTTCAAAAAGCTGTTCTAAAATCTCTATTTATCTTATGATTTTTAGTTTTACTTATCTATGCCTATTATATCACAATCACATAGATTTATGCAAGTGTATTATATTACAATCAGTTTTTTTTTTCTCAAGTTATTAGAAATGGCCTTTCTTTATTAGGTTCAAATAAGAATTTGAGTCTAAACAAGACACAATAGAGAAAAATGATTCATGTAGCCGTTCCCACGTTGTGGAATAAAGGCTTGTTGTTGTTGTTGTTGTTGAAACTGTTTGCGATGTAAATATATTTAAAAAAAACTTGAGATTTGACATTTTTAATTTTGTCTTATCTTCATTTAGTTTAAGTTTAGGGTTTAGGAGAAAAATGGATTCATATAGTCGACCACATGTAGTTGGATAAAAGTTTGATGTTTTTGTTGTTGTTATACTTAGTTTAAGTTTCAGTGTTATCCTTCTATGTGCTTTTAGGCCCAATTTTACATTAAGATTTCTTACGCAAAAGCACTGGACAATTTGCTAATCTTATTGATGGAAGGGTAGTGGTCAAACTCTGATAAAATAGTAAAATTTGGACAGCTTGTGGTCTCATTTTATATTTGAAACAATTATTTAACAAATACTTACTGCAGTTTCCTTGAATTTTAGTTAGCGTCTGCTGACATTTTCATGCAAGAGTCTCAACTTCTGTTGTACGCTAATGGAAAAGACAAACCTCCAACTGGGCTCATGCTTGATAAAGAACAACTCCAGGCACTTTATTTCAATCAGAGTCCTTCCAAGGTTTGCTGTGGTGCTTGATTTGTATTCAGGATCATTTATTCCTTTTTTTTTTTAAAAATTTTTTAAAAATGCAAGCTTCAGTCCACTATTTGTAATCTTTACTTTCGTATTTCTTTTCTTAGCATGAATGATTTGCCACTTCATGTTGTAGCCAGGATTGGAAGAGTTGTTAGGGTATAAAGTTATGAGCATTAGCCTAACTGAACCTGTGCACTTGCAAAATGTCACCGATGTTAAAATTTTAGATGCTAGGCATGCTTTTTTTATCCAAAATTATCATTGAATGACATTGGAAACTTACTATCATGTATAGATCAAGGCCATGAGAGAAAGAAGAGAGATTGAGAGAGAAAACTAAAGACAGAAGCTTTGATAATCTTTATTATATTGTTGTATTAAAGCACAAGCTGGTATGATTTGAGCCAATTAAAATGTATCATATTTATCATTTGACCCTACTTATCAGTTTAGATCGATGTTTATTGCTATTTGAATGATTACATTTAAGCAATATAAGTAAAATTATATAGTAAAACATAGGACTAGTTGTTGAAAAAAATGTCCTAATCTTTCAATATAATTTCTAAATAGTTTGGTAATTCTTGACAAGTCCTAATGGTGTGAGGATAAGATCTTCTGTGGAAGAGCTTGAGCTTCCTTTACTGAACTCTTTGGCTAGTTCCATAGTGAGATCCATTGACAACATTTGCGGTGAATGCTTGGCAAGTTTATTCGGATTAAGAAAATAAACTTATGAGACTTGTTGACTTCAATTGTGGAGTTCATTAGTGAGTATGCCTTTTCTTCCAGCGATTTTAGCTTTGATGTGAGTTGGTTTAAATGCTAGACCCAGACAGCTTGTTGACCTTTGTTCTTAAGGGTAACATGACTTGATCAACTCAGCACATGCCACGTTGAGCGTACATCTGTTCTCTATTTCTCTTATCTCTGTGAAGAAAATTAAAAGTACAATAGAATCAAAGCTTTTGAAAAATTGAATTCAACTTTGGTGTGCTAGCGCATTGATTGGAATTTATTTGTTGACCTCTATCAGATAATCCAAAAAAAAAAAGCTTAAAATGATTACCTGTAACCGACGACCCATCCCGTATCCCTGCTAATATCCCGCTACAGTAATCATTCTTTGCAACGGCGCCGAATGGTCTTGTCGCTTGTGTGCGAAGATTTGCTCGCTTCGCATCGTTAAAACGAGAACTCGGAGCTCTCGTTCGGTCCTCCCTGCTATTTGACCTCCATGCACGCGAAAGCCCAGATCCCTTTGTCTCTGTCGAAACTCCACTCGACTGCCTTCTCAACCTAATCCATACAAACTTCCTGCTCTTCTCTGTGCCGAGCTTGCATCTTCTTGAAGCCATTGAAACCTCAACGACCAGCTGAACTCAACAACCCTGGAGCTTCTTCAACCCACGACCAAACTCCATCCCCTTTCTGTATTATGGCCACCATGAATTTTAAGCTAAAACAAATCTAATATGGTCTTAACACCTTCATTTGTCATTCCAAACTCGTGGCCACCATGAATGCTTTTAAAATCATCTCTCTCTCCACTAACATGTCCACGTAAATCTCCTCCAATAAAAACTATTTCTTCAAGAGGTATCTTTTGT